AAAATACTGCTAATAAAATCGAAGACTGGAGAATCTACTGTACAAAATTTCTCCGAGTATTAAAGGGTGAACAAAAATAATCATCAGATGCACCACAAAATGCCCAACCTAATTTTGTGCAAATTGCTGCACTCGTGTTAATTGTTTTACTTGGCCTGTAAGAATTTTCCCATAGATATCACAACTATGAATGAGCATTTCGATTTTTGGGCAATGAGCTCCCAAATTCGACAACCGATTATTGTTCCATTTTAACTCTTAATATCGAACCCATGAGCACGCGAGATATATCCCCACACATTATATTCTGATCTAACAGTTTAAATTCTAGAGTCGAATACTTACAAGGACTGGCTGAACATAATTTTCCTCGATAATTGTTATGCAACTTTGGTTAAGTTCTGGCACCCCGCAGTAAAGCAACAGCAACTTTTCCTTGGAGATGATTGGTAACCTCAATCCTACGGGTAATGATTCCAACATATATGATATCTGAAAATCACAATCTAAGAGTATCCTAACAGACCCTATGACACCAAATGTTCTTACCGACAACTTTATTAAAGCTACTTCCGCGGTACAAGTTTACCTGGCTGTGGTCCTGTGAAAGTTACCTGTCACTGGCCCCTCTATAGGAAGTTCTACCTCGTTATTAAATTCTGTACACAAAATGAATGTGCTTTACCACAAGCAAAACACCTAACACATTATAATATTAAAGGGTTGAAAAATCGTAAAGAGAATGATAGATAATCTTACTGATAGCATCCATAGCGCACAAGAGGAAACTTCCCGCACTGTGCCGCAAGACCAGTTTGCTGATAAATTGTTTTGTCCTGCGGCAGATCTTAATTAGGAAATTAATGGTTCATTGCTTGGGATCCGAAACTTAAAAGATAATTGAACAAACAGTTAAGAAAAATATAAATGAATATAGAAATGAGGCTGCCATATCGAATGATGGTGAAAACATAGCGGTAAATATATAACGAAAACATCATGGAGAAATCTAAACAAAATATGTATAAGTCTCTAATAAATCAGACTGGGATCAAATGTAAAGTAATAAACAGAGGAGCGTTATTCCCCACAACGTTTATTGACGAACACCAAAGACGAACTGATACATATACATAATTATAACATCACAGTTTCTTTTTTCAAACACTACCACCATCTATTGGCAATCTAAGGATACATAAGCGTAAACTTCACAAAATCAAAGCAAAGAACGTCGTCATACAAAACATCGTGGGAGAAAGGAAAGCAAAGAGAAAACATCGCCGTTAAAACATCATGGTACAGAACATCGTCATCGAAAAAGCGGTTCAAAACCTTTTCGCAGTTTAAAAACATCGACATTCATTTTACGGCTAACAGTTTTTGAGTTATAAGACACACTTACTTAAGTGCGTATGCTGAAACGTCACACCGAATATTATCGCCCTATATTATATTTAAAGAAGTTAAATAATGAAGAATCTGCATAAACGTATCTATATATCTCGCCTTGTGATAAAACAACGGTACCCAAAGCCATCCAATTTTGAATGACGTAATCCTCCTGCCAATACGAGCATCTGGAAACCCAAATTTGAAATTTGGAATTTAGTTTATTATCGATGTCATATTTTGTAAAACTTTAATGAATTTTTGATTCACAAACTCAAGGATTTCAAAGAGAGCAATGGCAACATTGTATAGGAAAAACATTTTTATCTCCGGCACGCAAGAGTGTGTATAGGAAATTCTAAAACTATTTTGCGACATTGCTCTTGAACTGAATTTTGTGGTTTAAGTGCGAAGAACATGATATTTAATAAATAAAAATAACATATAAAATGTTAAAAAAAAATCTGAAAGGTTTCAGATTTTAAATTACGTCCAAAGGGGCGTTTATTTAAGGTTTTGTGTGTTACCTTTATTTATTAAATATGACGTTCTTTGCACTTGAACCATAAGATTCAGTTCAATAGCAATGTCGCAAAATAATTTTAAAATGAGCCTAACTTTATGATTTCTGATACATAGTTCCGCGCGCTGGAGATAAAAAGGTCCCCCCCCCTCGTAGAGTATCGCCATTGCTCGCTTTTAAATTGTTGAGTTTGTTACTTAAAAATTCGTTAAAGTTTACGAAATATGAAACAATCATAAAACAATTCAAATTTCAAATTTGATCTTCCACATGCCCATTCGTAGAAGGATTACGTCATTCAAAATCGATGGCTCTATGTAACCGTTGTTTTATCACAATGCCAGAAATACATACATTTATCAGATTTTTCATTATTAATTTCTTCAAATATAATGCGGGGCTCTAACATTTGGTGGCAACAGTTTGAAAAGTGAAAGGGACATTTATAGTGATTCGCAAAATCACAAAACGAAAACTATTGTTCTTCACGGGGCCGTTCCCTTTGGACTGAAAACGCCCCATTTGGACGTAATTTAAAATCTGAAACTTTTCAGACTTTTTTCTCCGTATATACTTACAAATGTTGGGCAAAGAAATCGCAGAAGTATATTCGGGAAGAGTCAAAATGAATATTATTACTTTATATTTTTTTTGCTCGGTTTCTTTTGCCTGTTTAATTATAATTATTTTACTCTACATTATATTTTAAGTTATTTTACATAATTTGTTTTGTAAATTATATATATATATATATATTTATTTATACCTACCCTCTTACTAGGCCTTTATATTCGCAATGGTCGGTCATGTACTTCCAATTACAGATGCGCATTAATATGATGAAAATATTCACGTTTGGGCAAAGTCGAATAAAAATAATAATAATTCTTAACAAATAATGAAATCTAACTTTCCAGATTTGTATCTGTGAAAGTTTCATACTTCTTATGAAAAAGTTAAAGTATAAGGAGCTTGAATTCCGTACGAGAAAAATCTCCCGGGATATGCATTTTCCCAATTCATAATTTCTCGATGTCATTTTTAACTTGCCTTGAGGAATCGATTAATTAAGTTAAAATAATTCGAGGAATTAAGTTTAAATTAAATGTAGCAAAAAAATGTGTATAATTTAATAGGTCGTAAAAGGAAATCAAGTGGGTGAATATATCAGATTTTGTTTTCATTTTATTTCCAGGGCCCACCAGCGGCCGAGCGGTAAGGTCGCTGAACACTGGTAGTTCGGGTCCGAGGTTCGAATCCCGCGAACGGGATGGCTGCATGGGCGCTTTCGTGGTTTCCCCATGTGTAACGTGTATACGAGCCAGTTTCCCTTAGAAAGTCCTCCACGAAGGCACCCCTTCCCTTAGGCAGATAGCCCAAGTGTGCTTTGTCGTAATCTCAATAAACCAAACCAAACCATTTCATTTCCACGCCATAGGAAAGCATCGAATATCGAATGCCCGACTATCGAATATCGGCATTTAATTAACCGGAAAGAACAAATCTGAATATTTTGGAATTTTAGAATTAATATTAAACAAATGGGAAACTTAGAGACAGATTAATTATAGCTACTCACGCACAGAACACTACCGTTAAAGAGTGTGATTCAGAGTCATGATGTCAAACAGTGCTATGGCATCATGGCCAGTAATCAATTGCCATGATGTCATAGAACAATTATAACACCTTCAACCTGGTTTTATGTAAATCCGATCAATTCTAGATATGATAAGTTGGTTTAGTTTTTGTGACGAAGAATGCAAATTAATGATATTTGTTTTTACCCTAGCATTTTGGAAAAAAAAAATTCTGTGAAGCTTTCAGATTTTATATTACGCCCAAAGGGGCGTTTTTTAAATGTTTTGTGCGTTACCTTTATTTTTTAAATAGTATCATGTTCTTCGCACTTAAACCATAAAATTCGATTTAACAGAAATATCGCAAAATAATTTAAAAAGAGCATATCTTTAGAACTTCCCATACACAGTCTAGCGCTCTGGAAAAAAAAAATTTCTTTTTCGGTACAGTGTTGCCAATGCTCGCTTCGAAATCGTTGAGTTTCTTAATCAAAAATTCATTAAAGTTTTACAAAATATGAAATGGCTAATTAAATAAATTCCAAATGTGAGCTTCCCGATACCCGTACGCGAGTGGAGTTTTACGCTATTGAGAATTTCATGTCTCTAGGTACCATTGCTTTTTCACAATGCGAGGAACGTACATACATCCATGCAGATTCCTTATTATTTAATTTCTTTAAATATAATGCAGGGCTGTAATATTTGGTGGCAGCAATTTTAAAAGTGAAATGCCATTTATAGTTAAAATGGCAAAACGAAATTAATAGCCCTTCTGGGCAAATTGCCCCTTTGGGATAACAACGTTAAAATTTGGACCCTGCCTTCTACAGAATAGTACACAGAGGAGTATTTTCGAAATTGCGGAATTCGGGCATCAAGAAAAGTGTCTTTTAATAAACACAACATGCGACTTTGTTTCAACACGGTTAAACAATGACGATGCAAAGTGAAAAATTCTGATAAGGGCTTTAAGTTTTCGATATGTTATATCTGTGAATTATATCTACTGATTATCTAAGTAAAGAGCGATAAGTATAAGTTTCTGCCAAGAAACTTTGAGCAAGTTTGGAGGCATCTCCAGTGACTTTCATGGCCGACGGCATTTCCCATTCAGATAAAAAGTTTTTACTTTTTCGTGTTTCATAGTCTATGAAATACGTCGGCTTTTATGTCTGAAATGTGCTTTTTTTTCTGCTCGAAATCTTCCATAATTTTAAAACAGTCTTGTGATATTCAAGTTGATAACAAATACGAGTAAGATCGTTTTTTTCTATTTTTACAAATGCCCAGCCGCGGTAAGATAGCTTCCCGTCAAAATGTGTTTAAGGTTGCCGTATTTGGCGCGAAATCGCGCATTTGGCGACAAAATCGGCGATATGCCATAGACGGATGAAGAAACTTCTAGAACAAATTCTTACCGGTTTGGGCAAAATCGCGCATTTAGCGACAAAATCGGCGATATACCATAGACGGATGAAGAAACTTCTAGAACGAATTCTTACCGGTTTGGGCCAGAATGATCTCGAACGCAGGCCAGACGCGGAGAGTCAGTCAGCGCCTAGTCTAGTGAGTTGATCGCCAGTCAGTGTCTAGTGTGTCTCGTCAGAGTCTCTTAGTGCAGCGCTCCGCAACCTTTTCTCACCTGCGACGCACAAAAAATCTTTTGTATATATGTATTGATTTATACACAAAATTTACAATAAATTTTTGTTTTTAATTTGAAAAATATACAATTATAAAACCATAACATATTTATTTATAGCAACATAATAATTATCAATGTGATACCTGCGCTTAAAAAAGTTATTATATTTTTGAGTTCCGAGTTATCAGGAAGCCGAAAAATTCAAATGCTGACCACTTACAATCACACACACAACCACCAACAGTGAATATATAAAAACATTTAAAATATACATTATTAAGGAAAAAAATTGCCATTGTGTATTAAATACATGATAAAAAATTGCAAAATGTCAAATACATGTATTCGATTGCGGCACACCTATATCCTACTCATGGCACACCAGTGTGGCGCGGCACACCGGTTGCGGAGCACTGTGTTAGTGTATCGCGAGTCTGGTTGTGCATCGTCGATTCTATCGAATGCATCGTCGACTGCATTGCGAGTTGCAGCGTGGAGAGTCTCGAGACTACGTTGAGTTCCGAGAAATACAGAACCGAGTCGGGAATCTTACTGTAGTGTTGCGGTGAGCTGTCTTCCGTGATGCCTGATAGAATGAGGCGTTTGCTGATTGTTCGACGCTTTACGTAGTTTTCGACGACTGTAAACGCGTTTTTGGAGCTGTCCTGAGTAATACTGGCTAATAAATTGTGTTTTCATTCTTCATCAAGTGTTGTTGTTAATCACTCCAAATCTACGAACCCGTAAGAACGCAACACTACTAATTTGGCTTTTTTTAACATGAATTTTACGTATCTGGCGTGGAATTTTCACGTATCCGTATTCCTAGCTTTCCATACATTCCAGCTTTTACTGTAAAACAAGTTTAGTACGAGTTTAATGTGCGATCAGATTATCGTACGGTTCATAATTTGAAGTCAAGCTGCTTATACTGAATCTTCGTTATGTAACGCGTTACTGTATTTCGTTTTATGATTTTAAGGTAAATGGGGGGGAATAGTAAAAAAAATAAATAAATAAAAAAATAAATTACATAATACTCTCTGAAATAAAAAAAGAAGACATTTTTCCTTTTCGTTCTATGACACCAATTTTCTTAGTCTTTTAAATTTAGTTTACCTATCTCAGGGTAAAAGACTATTTTAAATTTAATTATATTTGTGTTTGATTTAAGACCAGTACTTGCTCATACTTTAAAATTATGAAGATGATAATCGTGATTGCTTAAATTTATAAGTTAAACTTCAACCGTTGTTAGCAACCTCGTTGAGTAGCTGAAAAATTCGAACGATGTTTGAGAAATTGGCCGAAATTCGTAAAATTTAATTGTACATTCAAAGAAAACTTGATTTGGAAGGTCACTTTTGTATTTATTCGACGGCGCGAAAATGAGAATTCTGTCGAAGTTTGATCCGTAAGTGATTAAATGTAAGAAATATTTAATACTAAAATTTAAAAAAAAAATTAAAATGAAAAAAGTCTGAAAGATTTCACATTTGATATTATGTCCAAAGGGGCGTTTTTCATTTACATACACATACACGTATCGAAAGTATTTGGGCTAAGCCCATTGGGTAAAAACATTTGAAAACAGCATAACTTTAAAGCTTCCGATAGACAGCCTCGCGCGATTTGGAGGTAAAAATATTTTATTCCGTACAGTGTTGCCAGTACTCGCTTTGAAATCCTTTAGTCTTTTTATCAAAAATTCCTTAAAGATTTACAAAATATGAAATAGATAATAAAATAAATTCCAAATTCAAAGTTCGATCTTCTATCTGCCCATGTTTGGGTGGAGAATTATGCTATTTAAAATGCGATGGTTCTATAGGTGCAGCCATTTTTTCATAGGTGCAGTCATTTTTTTCTATAGGTGCAGTCATATCCCCCACACACACTTTACATAGTTTTCACAACTTAATTCAATCACTTTTAAAGCAAAAAAAGCACAATTTACCAACATATCAAAATAAAACCACTGTCACCGAGCCGTGTATCAGAGTGGGTATATATATATATACTTTCGGTGCGCCCGACTGCAATCGAAATAGGGAGATGCACAACTACATGTTATAGCAGGCCCATAGACAAAAGTTCAGCGTTCTACTCGTCTTTCAGTTGCGATATACATACATATGTATATACGTACAGACGTCACGAACGAAATCAATTCTGAATCTATTTTAAATCCATTTTACAATTCGTTTCGGGAAGAAGAGCCCTTTGTTCTGTCCGTACGTACACATGTGGCGCAAAAACATCGTTTAAATAGATTCGCGAGCGGGGGAAATGGATATTTACGTTGAAATTATGATACCCGAAATTTTTTGCGATTATAATACTTCCTTTACTTCGTGCAAGTAAGTAAAAACGCTTGACGTTTCTTCGGGATATTAATTGTTTTTCATAATATGTATTTCAGGGTCATATTGAAACGAATTCAGAATGAGTGAATGTATAACTATCTCATTTAAAATTCCTAATTTGGCATCATCAAAAATCCCGATGTCGAAATCTTGATTATTTAAGTACGCATGTTATTCTAAAATATTCCTGGAAAATTATTATTCCGCTGCTCGACAATCTGTCGCCGTTGCATTTGCAGTTACGAATGTATCACGTACTTAATGATGAGTGGTAGTGATTCCAGACACTTTAACGATTTGCGGCAAACGACAGCGAAAGCAATTACCTGAAGAAAGGTCGCTGCACCCCGTCGTGTTAAGTGTCTTGGTAGTAGGGGGCTCAGTGCAGTGTTCACACCTCAGTGGGAGAAATAGATGTCTCTTTTTACGGTCTACAGATGATTTGCAAAGAGATGAAGCTCTATTCAATTAGAAATTCTGTTCTTAATGCGTGTTGCGAAATATCAGCAAATTGGGAAGAAGTCGATATAAGAAGAAAGTGAGGGTAGCAGCTTAATAAAACGAAATCAATTTTTCTCCTTACTTATCAGTCGAAACTTTATACATGTTGTCAAGACCCCCCCCCACAGCGTGCCATCGGGGTATAATTGGAAAGTTCGTCTGGTTTGCAATCGAAAGGTCCCGAATTCGAGTCCCGTCAATGCATTGCACATTTCTTATATCTCTTGATTTAAAAAAAAAAAATACTGATGGCCATACAAGTGGCGCCCGAGCTCAAAAGTACCAGACGATAATTCTTCATCACCAGGGTATTGGCGTAGCTAGAGTTTTAGCCCCCCCCCTTGATATACAAACAAACAACTATAAAAAGAGTCGAAATTGTAGGGAAATAAAATTAAATCTCTACATTATAAAATTATTAGCGCAAAAGGGCTTTAAACCGAATGGGCTACTAGTCTCGGAAAAGGATTTGGCGGCGTATCACATTAAATGTCTGAATCACTTTTCAGATTGTTGCCGCGAAATATTATCGCCCTGTATTACTTATAAAGAAATTAAATAATGAGAAATCAGCTTGAATGTACCATATTGTACAGACTTAAGACGTATTTTTTTTCTTCAAAAACTTGCCTCTAAAATTCAGGTACGTCTTATACTCGAAATTATTATAAAAATGTCCAGTGTTTGATTTAATATTCAAGCGAGTCTTAAAAATAGCCATATATTCGACATCGCGGGAAAACCTATCTGTATCTGGCAGCAGCTGGCAACACTGTCTAGAGTGGGAGAAGATATTATTGTTAAATCTTTCAAGAAGTGCGGCAAAAGTAACGCTCTCGATGGCAGCGAAACCATCTTATATATCTTACTAGAAAGCTCGTTGTTCTAGATATTATAAATTGTAATTAAAATGATTTGTGCAAAGGTGTCTGCTAATTCAAACTGAATTACGCAGGGCAGGCGGCGAGGACGCCCCTTTGCTTACTGACCCTCGGAGTTTCCCCCTTCTACTTGCTTAATTGCTTAGTGCTTCAGTAGAGTGCAATGAAGGAAACCACTGGCGTACATTTCTTAATGGCCACCGCTAGCTCAATAAATAAAGATGATTTAAATAATAAAATGTTAATTCAATTCATGTAATCATGTAAACCTCATCACCATGGCTGTCGTGGATATGTCTCAGGTTGCAAGGAAGTACTGCTGCCGCAGTAGAAACCCTGCATAATCACGTTCGTATCAAAGTATCAACATGTCAAAGATATCTTTGTATACGCAGCATTTCTTGCTTAGATCTTTCCATCATTTTTAAGCTCGCCTGCAGAGGACCATCGATTATTTTTATTTTTGCATCCGTTTTTTCACGAACCCTTAAAAGGGCAACATAAAGTTGACAGTGCCCAAATGCGGGCTCAGTTAAAAAAATGGCAACACGATTAAGCGTTTAGCCCTGAGACTTATTGATGGTCATAGCAAAGGCAAGTTTTACAGGAAATTGTCTACGTCTCAATTGAAACGGCAACCCTGTGCCATGGCAACTTCACCCCATTGGGTAGTACAGTTACGAAAGCAACCAATAAACAATCGGCGGCAAACAGACATTTAAGCCGCATACATATGTATATGGGGTGAAGTAACATCATCTCCTCTCTTCAGGAAAGCAAAGTGCCAGGTGCCATCACTCATCAGGAGCCGGTAAAGTGGCATATACTCGCTGCACACCGGCAATAAAGACATAGACTGGACTGGATGATCTCCTCCGAAACGGCTGGCTCCTGGGCTTAGCGAAGCACACCGTTGGATTCCGCAGGTCCATGGCACGCCATTTTGACCATTTGCGTCTTCGTGGGACTTTAATTAGCCGAGATATTAATCAAAAATTAATTTTCCCCTTACGTTTTCCCTACACTTTCCACTTTCTTTCTTGGGTTTTCCTTATTAGAGGGATTTGGCTACGTGCCAAATTCTTTTTTCTCGAATATCTACGGAACGGCGCCGAATTGAAATTCGAGACGCGTATCCTCGGATTCCAAAAAATTCTCCGAATCCATCGATACCGTTCTCATCTTCGTACGACTTATATATATCGATACCGTTCTCATCTTCGTACCTAAGCCCATCAAATTTTAAATA